GGGGGGTGTGTGGGTGTGGAGGGGGGGGCGGCAGCCGCCCGCCCGCCGAGCCGGCGGATCCAGGCGGGGATGGAGCCTCCCCCGGCGCAGGGATGCTGCTGCTGCCGCCGCCGCTGCCGCCGCCTCCGTCTCCATCCCCGCCGGGAGGGAGCGCGGCCCGGGCTGCTCCCGCCGCTGCTCTGATGCCTTCGGGTTTTCCGTGCCGGCTCCCGGAGCCACGGGGAGCCCTCGCCGCCAGCGGGTGAGCCCAGCGCCCTGCCCCAGCCATGCAGGAGCCGGAGCGGGGGGTGTCCGGTGCGGACCCGCCGCAGCCGGCAGCGGGGCAGAGCGGTGCCCCAGCAGCGGGCGATGCCGTCCCCGCGGCCTCCGCCTGCCCGGACCTGGACACGCGTACAGGCGTGGGGGGTGACAGTGACGGGGCGAGCTGCCAGCCGTCGCCGCGGCCGGAGGGGGCCGGAGCAGCCCGGCCCCAGGAAGAGCCCTCGGGGACGCTCCGCGGCCCCCCTGCAGACCCCCAGCGGGTTCGCTCCGCGCCGGAGCTCGTTAGGCCGCTGCGAGCGATGGATGGGCTCGGACGCGACCGGACAGACAGACCCCCGCAGGTAAGGCGGCTGCCAGGGTGCGTTCGCTGGCAGGCGGGGTGCGGCGGTGAGCGTTTCGGTGGGGGGAGGCACCGGGGCATGTCACCTTGGTACGAGACGGGCATGGGAAATAGCTGCGCTTGGCTGTGGCTGAGCCACCCACGAAACCTTCCCTGCGGGGCTGGGAGCTGCCAGAGCTGCTGTCATGCACTGGCGTGGGGGAGAAGGACCCGCTGCCTTCGCTGCCCTTCCACAGGGGTTTCCAGCTGCCTCTCCCCTGGCCGGTGCTGGAGCCGGTGTGGGGTCTCCCCAGAGCCCTAGCAGAGCCCGCTCGATGCAGACACGGCCCCTGCACCAGCAAAGGCTGAGCTGTCCCTGCGGCGGCTCCTCGCTCCGGCAGCATCAATGGCTCTGCAGGTAGCGGCAGGGACGTGATTCACTGCCACCCCTTTCCAGAGCATCCCCCTCTCTGCTCAGGGTAGCCCGGGAGGGCTTGGGGCACCTGCACTGCAGGCAGAACCTGTCCCTGTAGACAGCACCGGGGCACCTCGAGGTAATGCAATGCCTGGCCCCTTGCACATCTCTAAAAACAGCCCAAAAGACTCCCTCGGAGTCTCACTTCCTCGATCCAGGCCACAAAAGTTCATCAGCTTATCGTGCTTAGGACAGCTTGCCCTCCTTTCCCATAGGTAAAATCAGTCATCTTCCTGGGATCCTCTGGGGTGTGGGGTAGCTCCATGGTGCTTTTAAAATAGGGGACGACTAAACTCTCAGCCTGTTCCTCTTGAGGATGAGAGGTAAGAGCTGGCAGAGCTGATGGGCATTTAGCAGGAGGTTTTTGAGCCAAGCCTGTGCTGTGCTCCTGAGCCTGGCTGGAGAGCAGCCTGGACCAGCCCACAGGAGAAATGGAGCTGCTGGAAAACCACTGAGAGAGAAAATGGTTTCACTCAAGCACAGTTTCTTATGTGTCTTTTTTGAAGGGCTGTTTATCATGATGCTTAGGGAAACACCACGTTTAACCAGGCAGTCCTCAGTCCGCCTCTGACAATAGCCCCTACCTGTTCCAGAAGCACCTCAGCCAACAAATGGAGCACTAGATTGGGAAGCATTTCTGCTCCCACCCTTCTTTTCCATCCATCCCGAGAGTCAAATCAGTTGCGCTGGACTTACTGTCTTCTCTCCCTTTGGGAGATCTGGCTGGCGAGGGAGAGGGTAGGCACTCTGTCTTGGTGGGGGAGCCCAGGTGGGAAGGCTGGGGGTGGCAGGGGGGGCAGGTGGCTGGAGCAAAGGGGTGTTCGTGGGTGCTCCAGCAGCCAAACAGCATCCTGTGTGGTGGGGGCCATGCATCCAGCTCTAGCTGATCCTTGCAGTGGGTCCCCCATGCACCGGCTGTGCACATGGGTGGCAGTGGAGGGGGCGAGGACCCTGCTTGGTTTCTACGGTAGTGACTGCTGAGCACCAGCTATTCATCTTCCCTTCGTTCTTGGGCTGCTTTGAGTGTTTGCCCATGATCTGGGAGGCTCCTGGCTTGGTGGGTGACTATTTCCCTTCCCACTCCTATGGGGCTGTGGCAGTACTGGTGTACTGGGGCAGTACCATGGTGATACTTGATGGTACTGATAGTGCCATGATGGTATCAGAGCAATGGTACTGCGGTACCTGGTGGCACTGTGCTGTACTGTGGTAGTGCCATAGTAGTACCGTGATGTTGCTGTGGTGGTACTGGTGGTACCATGGCAGTACCATCCTTAACATTGACATTGATCCCCAGAAAGGCTAACTTGTCTTTTCCTGCAAAAAAATTCCAGTATTTCCTCCTGAAGTCAAGTGGCTTTAGTGATGTGAAAGGCTTCCAGTTCAGACCCAGGAGAGAGCTCAGTGCTGCTGTCCCTGGCAGAGCAAGCGCCTGTGCTGCTGGGCTGTGGAAGCCACATCCTCAAACCCACTTCCTAGGGAGCAAGGTGCTGTGTTACAGCTGGGGACAAGGGGATGCTAACATAGCTCCGCTCCAAAAGCGTGGCTTTTCCTGGCCAGGCTAGGACAAGCACTACCGTGTGTCCTGCTGCTGGAGCTGGGCTTCCTTTAGGACATCTGTCCTTGGCATGTCAGTGCTGCATTATGCAAACAGGACAGCTGCCTCCAGGGAGTAATCTCCTAGTGCGGGGATGAGCCTCCTGAGGGCTCATCGCTGACAGAGTTGATTAAAGGTGTTGATTTTATGATGAAGCTCTTGCCGTGTGTCCCAGCCTCTGCCACTATTGCTCTGCTGTTCCTTCTGTGGACAGTCTGTGGGCAGATGTTAAGACTACCCGTAGGTGAAGTTAACCTCAGCTTTCTTGCTCAGGTCCCTCCTGAGTGCCGAGGGTGGAGAGCTGTTTCTCTTCTCCCATTTGGGAGCTGGCAAGGGAACTCTGGAGTTAGAGAGGTGGGTTGGGGAGACACACCTGGACCCTCCGGAGCAGGGCTGGCTCCAGAGCTGAAGGAGGTTGCTCAGGGCCTGACCAGGCAATATCTCCAAGGGCTGGGATCCCACCACCTCTTAAACCCTGTCCTGAAGCTGCAGCACTCTCGTGGAGAGGAATGTTCTCCATAGGTCTGGTGGGAATTTCCCTTATTGTGACTTGTGCCCAGGTCTTCCCATCCATTTGCTGGGTGCCTCTGCATCCTGCAATGCACTGCAGGGTTTCCTAGCTCCTCTGCAGAGTCATGTGTCCCACCATGTTACCACTGAATAATGCTACCTGGGAGCTTGCTGTCACAAATGTATTCTTGGTCCTGGGCCTTTGAAATCGCTCTGGTCTTGCTTTCCAAAATTTCTGTGTGGACACAGGAGGTAAGAAATGACTTTCCTGCTGAGAATCTCCAGGCACTGCAGGTGTAGGATCCCAGTCAGAATAATGAATATCAGAGAAGGTGAAAAACAACCACGTAGGAAGAATGGGGTTAAAGTGGCACAGATACAGTCTGGCTGGAAATCGGAAAGTTCCCATAATGCTGTCAGATGGATTTTAGAGCACTTCCCACAAGAGTTCAGTTGTCTGCATCTCTTAAGGGATGCTGTGCCAGTGGGATCTGCTTTGGCCCTGGAAACTCAGGATGGTTGGGGAACAGGTTGCTGAAGTGAAGGTTCCTGATGCCCTAAATTGGTAGAGGGGAGAGGAGCAGTCGTTCAGTTTTGGTATATTCCCTGTGCCCTTCACTTCCAGGATTACTCGCCCCTCCCAACCTCCCCAGCTGCACTTACAGAAGTAAGTAAGCTGCACTTACTTACAGCTCAGCGGCTGACCACATCCCTGTCCTGGCATCCCATGAGCCACACAGGCAAGAAGCACAGCTAGAGTGCTCGCAGTTGGCTGTTGTGACTACTTCTTAATCTTAAGAGGTTGCTTTGGATCTGAATTTCTTAAAAGCCAAGCCTCAGCTTCCCCTGAGGTCAGATGGAGCTGAGGATATTCAATAACTCTGTAAAACCCAAATGAAAATGTTTAAACCAAGGAGCCCCCCAGTCAGTAGGAATTTAGATATCCACAAAATAACCTGTTGCTTTCAGTGGGGCTTGATAACACAAAGCACAGACACAGTAAGAATTATAAAATGCTGGTAAAGACCTTCCATGTCAAGTGTTCAGGCCAAGCTGCAACAAGAAGTTGCTCAGTGCCTTTTGCAGGAATTCACGGCATTTCAAGAGCCTCAGATTTTCTACTGGCAAAGATGGAAAACTATTAATTTAATGTCTGAGGGTGTGTAGAGCTGTACCCTTGACTAGAAAGGGTAGGTCAGCAGAATAAAAGATGGCACTAGGTTGAGAAAGTCTTCCTGGGAAATGATGCCAGTTCTTGATGTTACAGGCACCATTTCCTACAATTCCAATTAGAAAAAGACTGTACTCCATCTTGCTCAAAATCTGAGTAAATTAATCTTTCTTGTCTTGGCAACGCTCAGTCTCATGCAAATGACTCTAGTGCTGTTTTCTGCAAGCACTATGAATGTATGGCCAACCTCAGATAGCCGCCTGCCATGAAGAGCCAGTGTGACTTTATTTGTAGGAATGAATGGAAGAAAACACAAAGCGAGACTGTATGAAGGCAAGGTAATTTTCATTTTAACTGTCTCTCTAAGTAAGCTCATATTCTCTGTACAACGACATGTCCAAATGGCTTGGCCAGGTCACTTGTATGGGACATGGAGGACAAGGGATACCAACCATTGCCTACTAACTGTGTCCTTGGCTCCTCTGGACTGGTGATGACAAACTGGTTTTGGGACAGGGCTGTCACATCATGCTGCTGTTGGCCATTACTGCACCGTGATCTTTCGCCGCAGCACCTTTCTCATTTTACCCTCTAAATTTTTGGTGAGGGTACTCACCAATGTCTTTGCTTCCTTGTTTTGGGTGTCCTATGGCTGTAGTCTTCCTTCCCGCTGGAATAACATGAAGACAAACAGCATGTGCAGTGCTGGCAGCCTTGTTGCCCTCCTCCTGCTGTGAGTGCAGGCTTTCTGCATCCCAGCCATCTGCTTAGTAGTTCTGGGAAAATACCCTTTTGGGCATCAGTTTGTAAGTCTTGTGCTGCTCTTGCCGTTCACATTTCCATACTGACCACTGAACAGCACCTCTGGCTCTTGTGAGTGGTGCAAGTGGATGATTTTTTCCAGCTATTTCTTAGCTACTTGTTAAAGCCCTTGGAGATTTGGGGCTTCTTATTTCAGGACAAAATCCTATAATTGCCCCAAATGAGTTCTTGCTTTACTATGAGAGGCAAAGAATGCTGTTCCTGATGTGTCGGAGTCTGGGCAATTACAACAGGTTTTAAGCCAATGTGACACAAGCAGAAAAGGTGCTCTTGGCCCCTGGGAAACTGCAAGTAATTTGGAAAAGAGGTACAGGTGGGCGAGAACTGTGGAGCAGATATCTGGGCAAAAACCGAGCTGTGCATACAAAATCAGCCACTCTAGCTCCTTGATACATCTTTCAAGGTGGAAGAGCACATCTGCCTCTTCAGAGCTGAACATGGTAGGTA